GCATGGGCGCGCACTCTAACTGCAATGCCAAGCTTGGGCGCGCATGGGCGCGCCCTCTAACTGCAATGCCAAGCTTGGGCGCGCATGGGCGCGCACTCTAACCCCAATGCCAAGCTTGGGCGCACATGGTCGCGTACTCTAATTGCGATGTCGAGCTTGGGCGCGCACTCTAACTGCAATGCCAAGCTTGGGCGTGCATGGGCGCGCACTCTAACTGCAATGCCAAGCTTGGGCACGCATTCAAATAGAAATATCAGGTTTTGGGCGAGCACGGGCGCGCACTAAAATATAATATCTGGTCTGGGCGCCCACTTTAAAATAATATCTGGTTGGGGCGCGCGCGGGCGTGCACTTAAAAATAATATCTGATCTAGGCGCGCGCGGGTGCACACTTAAAAATAATATATGGTCTGGGCGCGCACTTAAAAATAATATATGGTGTGGACACACGCGGGCGCGCACTTTAAAATAATATCTGGTTTGAGCGCGTGCGGGCGTGCACTTAAAAATAATATCTCATGCTCAATCTTTTGCTCAGGACCAATATACTACTGCTTGCAATTCTGATGATTAGTCAAACAGGATAAAATAATTATTGCACACAAATCTTGGCCTTCTCTTAGGGCCAGACCACTATTGTCATCATCTGAGAGTTGGTCAATCAGTTTTTTACTAAATACTCTGTTGAAATGGACACCTTTGCTTCTAGTTTGAAATTGGCCATGCATGACCCTCAGTCACGGTGCGCAACAACGTACAGTTGTGAACAACAGAAATGACCCTCAGTTATGGTGCGCAACAACTCATAGTTGCGATAAGCAGAAATGGTTCTCAGTAACGGTGCGCAACAGCGCACAGTTGCGAATAGCAGAAATGGTTCTCAGTCCTGGTGCACAACAACGGACAGTTGCGAATAGCACAATGTTCTGAAATGACCCTTGTGAATAGCAGAAATGGTTCTGAAATGGCCCTTGCGAATAACACAATGTTCAGAAATGACCCTATTACGAAATGCCCAGATATGGTCTTCAAGTAAAGTGCGCATACTTCGCACAGTTGCAAACTGCAAAAGTCAAATTTAGCCCTCAAGTGTGGTGTGCTGGCTGCGCACAATTGCAAACTCAGATATGGCCCTCAAGTGCAGTGCGCAAGCTGCACACAGTTGCAAACTGCGAAATGACCTTTAAACGTAGTGCACATACCGCGCACAGTTGCAAACTGCGAAAAGCTTCCGATATGGCCTGCACAGACGGTCCCAAAATCGACTTGTTTTCTAGTGTGGTTGCGCAGGCTGCGCTGGCAGTCTCATAATCGGCTTGTCTTCTAGTGTGGCTGCACTGGCAGTCTCAAAATCGACTTGGAGACAAAGGGGTAACGCACGTAATACTCTTCGATGCATCGGGCCAGCGTTTTTCCAGTTTTTGTGTCAATGGCCCAACCATCCACAAATCTAGAGAGGTTGTCCCGCGCATCAACGATAAAGTTGTAACTCCCTATTCCCAGCGGTATTGCCAACAGGTCCAGGTGTACGACCGCTCCAACTTCACGAACATACCTTGGGTGAAGCGGCTCCCTAGGTCTAAGAGAGGAAAGTTCCTAGCATGGTACACAAGATTTACAATAATCGTCGATCATCTATCCCATGCCATCCCAATAGTACAGTTCGTGTATCTTGAGATATAACGTATCCATGCTTTTGTGGCCACCCGTCGTACCATCGTGCATTGCTGCCATAACGTTAATCTGGCGAGTGACGCCGCAGACTACTCTTCTGGGAGCCCTCCCCTTTGCTTCTCATGAACAGATGACCATCCCTTACTAGAAAGCTTGGCCTCATCTTCAGAACTCTTGCGCAAGCGTCCCGTTCCCTCATTTTACATGAAAGAAGCATTCCGAGTTCAACATTTACTCCTTCATATTCCTCTGCCCGAAATGCTTCCTTAATGTCTCGTTCTTCAAAATCATCATCTTCCTTCTCGTGGATCACATTATCACCCTCTTCCTGATCCTGCGCCGTATTCCTGATCACCTCTTCCTGATCCTGCGGCGTATTCTTGATCACCTCTTCCTGAAGCAGCGCATTTGCCAACAGATACACCCCACCTATCACTTTCTCATGCTTGCCCACCTGTAGCGCCCCATCCTCAATCGTAAGCAAGTCCTCATGCAGCTGGTAATTGCCTGCTAAAGGCAGCTCCATCATCCAATCCACAGGCATTCCCCAAGAGTCTTCTTCAATATAGGGCTTAAGGACTAGGTCTGGTCGTCGTACATGTCCTGGTGGCGTAAGCCACATAGGTCGCCCAGGAGTAACATAGTTACCCATGCCTAATGACCAAGAGTTGATGTGAAGTCTCACATTCTCCTCACTGTCTAGGAACCCGTCCACTGGTGGAGTGTCTTCGATCACTCCTTGGTTGTTCTTATCCCAGTCGACTCGACTCAGCCCATCTGCTTTATTCTTGTTCCTCGGAATTCGCTCCAACTCGAAATCAAACATCCAGATGTACGTTAGCCACCTGGCGATAGTAGGATCTGATAGAGCGAAATTCTTGAGAGACCCAGCTAGAGCAGTAGGGTCCACCCTCAATACAACCCTACTGCCAAAAAGGCAGTTTCTGAAAATCCTCAAGCAGTGAAGAACTACCAAGGTTTCGCGCTTAAATTGGGAGTAGTTCCTCTCAGCTGTGTTAAGCGTCATACTCTCAAACCTTAGTGGTCGTTCTTCTCTATTGGGATCTCGTTGAATCAACACATCTCTCAGGGTAGTCGGCCCTGCGTCCGTTTCAACAATGAAAGGTCTGGTCATTACCGCCGCATGATCTGGTACCCCCAGTAGTAGACCTCCTTTCACAAACTCTCTCTTCAAACCTTCTATTACCGATTCTTGCCTATCTCCCCATGCCCAATCTTGACCCTAACGCACAAGCTTTCGCAGCTGCTCAGTCTTCACTGCAAACCCCTTATGAAGATCCTCCAGAATCCACATGTTCCCAAGAAGCTCCTTACCTCCGTGATAGTCTCGAACGGGGTTGGTCATTCGAGAATCTTGTTGGTCTTTGTAGTATCTGGCCGCCGACCCCTCTCGTCGCACACAAATCCTAAGATAGTGGCTCCGCTTATGCAGTGCCTCGACTTTGACCCACTAGCACTGAGGTTATGCTCCTTCAGAAGGTCCAGGATCTTGCACAAGTCTTGCACATGATTCCAGACAAAACGCCTAATTCTCGGCATCACCTCTTACTCGTCCTTCTCCTTAGGCCCTTTCACGGTCAGATCGCCAATATAAGGCTGCATAATGTGAGGACTTATAGGCTACATTGCCCTTACCATGTGCCTCTGGACCATGGCAACCATATTCGTCCACCCTTGCGGTGCGACGTTCATGTGAATCAATCCTCGAGGGGTATGCATAGCCGTCATGGGTCGGTCAGATGGGTATACAGGGAATTGGTCGTAACCTGAATATAAATCTATGAGGGATATTATGGCTCACCCAACGCAGGCCTCTAGAAGCGCATCCGCCTTGGGGAGACCACCTGCGTCCCTCACAGTTACAGCGTTTAAGCGCTGCAAGTCCTGTACCCACCTCAAAGTCCCATTGGGTTTGACAAAGCAAAACCACGGGGATGCATACGGTCCACTCGAGTAGTCTACCACATGTGTGCGGATCTTCCCATCAAGGTAGTTAACTACCTTCTCTTCATCAACTGGATCAGGGTACCGCGCACCTCGTAAGTTTCATGGCTCGTGAGGCACGGTGTGTATCCTAATCATCGGGATTATATCCACGTCCAGACGACCTCTCTCATCATCACTGAAGGCATACGCAGCGTGCCTTCCTCTTATGGTTTCCACCATAAGCTTCTTCTCCTGGCACTCCTGCGCTGTAAGGAAGCCACACTCTCCTATAATCAGCGCCTTCTCTGTCTCAGAGGTGATACGGCACGACCCATTCTCTGTTTTTCTCGCATCTGTCGTATCAACTCTCGCTCCCGCTCGTAGTAAACTTCTTGTTCTTCAGCAACGAGCACGGGAACAGGGCGGCACTTCTGATCTACCCTTTTGTACCGCTTTTGTGCCCCCTGCTTGAGCCCACCCCTAAAAAAGGCCGAGTTGCGCTTTGGGGCTGGGCTCCAATTGCTCCACCTATCCTTCCTGGTGTCTGGTACATCAACTCCATTTCTCCTGCTCCCATCTGTTCCACCACCTTTTCTCTCAAGGCTTCCACAGCCTCTGGATCCGCCATCCCATAGGTCGACACTATGTCCATAGCATCACCTATATTCGGTAAGCTAAGGGTCAGTGCCTCCGACCCTCTTTCCTCTTCAAACTTGCTGCCTTCCAGTCTCAACCTCTCCTCTTCTGATTCTTCAATTGTGAAAGAACCAGGGTTGGGCCGGTTCCTTATACTCCCAGGTCCTGTGTTTTTGGAAGTTATATAGTTTTCGGATATTGGATCGCACAGGACGAGGAACATAGTTCCGTCATGCTTATTGAGTATGACGGTCTCTGTTCGGCTTAAGGATGACCTACCCAGTAGAATAGAGTGGTCAAGATCAAGCATCACGAAGAAGCAACTCCTTACTTTCACTTTCTCGATTTCCAGAATCACCGATGATGCGGTCCCTATAGAAATCGACCGACTGTTCGCCCCCATTAAGACCCCGTTGTCAGAGCGATCTATCTCCATCCCTAAGCGCACAACATGCTCCTCTTTTATGAGGTTCATTTCCGCGCCATTGTCCACCATTGCTGTGCAAGTCTTTCCCTTTACCACTACATCAAGGCACCCACATGCGACGGACTTCCAATCCATCTTCGTTCCGGTCTCAACCCATTTTGCCTCTTTAGAGATTATGGTCCCTAATCGCACACTGGCCATCATCTTCCTAGATAAGCGCGTTTTTAGCTCATCCTTGAGCCTTGGCGCCGAAGCCTGGACATCCTTTAGGTTCATAAGATGATTATGACCCTCAAGGATCCTGTCCATGGTCTCCTCTACGTCAAATCCTTCCTCTACTCGGACAGCGTACTTCTTTTTCTTTACTTCTGAAGGTTTGTCCGTGTCCGGTTTTACGCCTCTCTTTTTGACTCTTTGCTCGGCCTTTTCGTCCTCTTCTTTTCTCAATCTGTCGTCTTCAGCATCCTCTCCCTCTGGAACATGTACCACCTCTTTCTCCCCACTGGGCTCAGGGACATCCTTTGTCGGCTCCTCGGGGCTCACCGGCCCCTTGGCCCTTGTCCTGACACCATGTGGTACTCTCCACGTCCTGGAGGGTGACCTATAAGCCATGCCCGACCGAGGCGCCCGGTCCTGAAATCGTGACGCCTGGTAAGCTTTCAGATCCACCTTGCGACCCTGGACCCATATCGTAGAGGTACACCAACGGCTCCTTACCTCTCCACTCATCAACCCTTTCAGACATATCGGTCAGTTTCTGCTGGTACCTCCCTACTTTGGCCACTAAATCCTCCATCCTTTCCATCGTTTGACGGACCTCTCTCCAGCAGTCCTCCCCTGCCTTCGCATGTCGTGGCTCATTCCAGCAGTCCTCCTCTACCTCGTCATCAAATTCCACTATGATCGACTCTTCCTTGATGGTGCCGGCTTTCTGCAGCAGTCCTCCCCTGCCTTCGCGTGTCGTGGCTCATTCCAGCATTCCTCCTCTACCTCGTCATCAAATTCCACTATGATCGGCTCTTCCTTGATGGTGCCGGCTTTCCTTCCTTGCTCCACTTCCTCGTTTTCTCCTGCTTCTTCCACCCTGATGTCACAGCGGGTCTCCTTCTCTTGCCACATCCGGAACATAGCTGGAGGAGCGGGTGACGCGCCGGCCTCGACCCTTCGTAGGGCTTCCTTCCTTGTACCGCCAGGGGTCCTCGGGTCAAGGTAGTACCCAAACTTATCGTACATATCCCCATCATAGTTGGTACCGATTAAACCTTCATCCTCATCATTCCTTTGGACATGGCAGAACTTGATGGTGTGGCCTTTGTACCCACAATGCCATCAAATGGCATTCCTCCTATCTATTCTTCCTCTGCCAAAGCCTCTTCCACCTTCCTGACTACCCTGACTTCCTGACGCATTCTTGTCCCCATTACCTCCTTCTGTGGAATTACCACCTCCATTCCCCCTTCCATTTCTTCTACGGCTACCATTGCCTCGCCCTCGGCCCCATCCTTGGTTTTGTCCACGTCCGCCGCCTTGGTTTCCTTGCGATCCTTGTGGGGCAGACCGTTGAGGTTGGCTCGGCAGCGGGCTTGGGTGGCTTACATGTTGGGACTGGGGCCCTGGACACCCGCAGGAAGCCGTGCTTAGAGGCGCTCCTGCGCATGACCCATGCGGCCCACTCACTGGCCATGGTACGTATGAACAATGCCCAGGCCAAGGACTTGGAGGTCCATAACCCGACCACGGCCCATAGGGCGCGGGCGCGACTTGACTGGGCGACTCAGGGGGTGGCAGTGCTGTCGCTTGCGGGACCTGACCCCTTCCTGAGCCTTGCCCACCTTGAGTCAAATTTTTCGCCTCTCTTTGAGCCTTCGTCAACTTTAGAGGTTCAGGCTCCTCTTCCTCACTCTCTTCCTCCTCTTGCACCACTGCCTTCTTTGCTTTTCTCTGGGTCTGTGGTGCCGCCATAACCTTTCTTGTTGCCTTTGCCTCTTTCGCCGCATCGAGTTGGGCGACCGCATCCTCTACCATTTCCTTAAAATCTCGCCCGTCACTCATCGTGGCATCCAAGGCCTTCCTCTTCTTCCTAGCCTGTCGCATTTAGAAGATGTCTACCTGGTCCAACTCTCCATCTACCACGCCTTCTTTTATGGCAGCCCAAGTCAACTTATTTCCCGACGCAGCCTTCTTGGTCATCGCAGAGGCCTCCCAATTCTTGAAGTGCCCTAGGAAGGTTGCACACTGCTCTTCTTCAGCCATCCCTAGGACTTTTCTTGCCATCTTTTCGAATGCCGTTGCGAAAGCCCCCACCATGGAGAACTCATCGCGCCGCAACATTTCTAGGTCTGTTTTTGTTAGCAGACCATCCCCTAGTTTGAAACGACTTTGCATTTCTTCTTTGAACTTGGCCCAATCTCCTCCTGCTCCAACAACCACCTTCATTATTTTGGGCTGGATTTCCCACCGGACGTATCTGGGTAGGAATTTGAACTTGTCTTCATCCGACGCCTCACATGTAACCTGCTCCAACAACTCTAGCCATTTAGACACTCTTTCCCCTTCAAACCAGAAGATGTGAACCTTTTGCACATGTAGCCGTGCCAACTCTCTTTCCTCAATGGCTTCGACAAAGTCTTCTGGTGTAGCTGCCGGGCCTCGCATGATTCCATCCGCGTCCGGCATCTTTATACCTCTTTGCTAACCAACCTGTTAGGAAAGACGATAGCCCATCAGACAGCTTGTCAAGTTCCAGGGGACTTGTCCTAGGTCCTACCTAGCCATTCCACCTCTAGGTCCAGCCAATCACTCTACTATTAGTTATTCGAAACCTCAGACACAACCTTAGACCGCACTAATAATCACTTAGCCTTATTATTATCTCATACACAATCCTCTTATATAAGACAATCCAAACCATAAGCTTTTGTCGTTTTGCCTAGATCATCAGCCTGCACTTAACCTGGGTTCGTTCTCTTAAGGACCCAGTAGGCAGCCGAGATCCCCGACAACGGCGCCACCTGTCGAGCGCATCGGTCCCGCATGGGGACCCTCCCGACCGCGTCACGCAGGATTTTGGAGGACTTGTCGCGGAGAGCGTTTGCCGCTCCGGCCGAGTGCGCCAGCCGTACCTCTCGCAAGCCCCTATGAGAGGACAGGGTCACGCGAGGCACCGCTTACCTCCACCTGCGGGAGCTGTCACCATCCCTTAGGTGGGTGTATCCCCGCCGAGCTACTGAACCACATGCGAAGGTTTTTCATATGCAATTGCAGAGGTGGCCCAGCCGGGGGCGTTTCTCGTTCGCTGTAGCATAGGGGGTACGCGCGGTCAACGCCCAAAATCGAACCCGCCCGTGAATCGACGCACTAGGGGGCCGAGGTCCCAAACGCGACTCGACGTTGGTCGACTAGGACGCATCCACGCGTTACACCACAACACTCGCACAAAAACGAATAATACAACACTACAACAACACAACAACACTCCTTGTCCCTTTAGTACCCGACCCATAACTTTATGCCGCGAGACTGAGATAGGTATTGCGCGCTGGATTTTTGTATAAGAGTCGTGCGAGCGCATGACCTTCTTATATCGACCAGCCATGCGGGCATTCACAAACATTCGCGCTGATGGGGTGCTACGTAGTACTCGTACCCACGCGGCCCTTGGTAATCTCGAGGGTAGTGCTCGACACTCAAGTGCCGGCTGACAAGCGTGTGGAGGAGTGTCCCTCTCGACGCTAGACAACCGGCATGCGAGGTTGAAGACCACACCCTCTGCTGCACCCTGTGTAGAGGGGTTGAGTAGACAGCTTCAGGGTTGTTGTGGTAGCCAAACTCAAGGGGTTTGATTTTGACGGCTACCACGGAATACAACGTCCAACCACGGAAGCTCAAAGGAGAAAGCAACCGCAGATAGAGAAAAAAGGGTCACCCCCTTTTCTTCTCTCTGCCTAGCCCATATTCCAAGTTATGTGGTCTGGTAGGCCTTATCGAATGGCAGGTGTAGGCCAGTACGGAAGATCCATGCAGATGATGCTCAAACTCAGACCCATAGGCACCCCGATGTTCGAAGCGCTGGAGGTTCGTACGCGGGCCCTCATAGGCCAACTAGGACTGATACCCTGCCCACGCGTCGTCTCGTGCTACCGAAACTCGGGTCTACTGGCCCTGGTGCGCTTCTGCCCTCTCCGCTTGACCCATAACTTTCGAGCGCGGGAATCGGCAGGCGCTGCGCGCGTGGTTTAGTATAAACCCGCACGGACGCAGGACCTGCGCATACTGACCAACCATGCGGACTCGCATATGCAGTCGTGATGTTGGCGCATTGTGTGGTGCCCATTCTCGAGTGGCCTCATTTGAGCCATGGGGTCGCTCTCGACGCTCAGGCGTCGGCTGAAGCGCGCGCTAAGTGGGGTAAACCTTTAGCGAGCGCAAAACCGGCCTGAGGGCCTTACCATCCTCTGCACCCTGAGGTGCCCCAAAGGGTGCAGGGTGAGATGGTCCCTAGGGCAGGAAGGGATTCGGAGCGGTGGTGAGTTGTCTGGTGCATCACCAGCGCTATGCTAATCCTTCCGCCTGGAACTTTATCGTTCCACCGAAATAATTTAAAACAAGGAAAAAGAAACAGAGTACTTGACGTTGGTCGGGGAAAATACGAACGCCCGCCGGACCGAGTTGCTGGGGGACAACCCTTCCTCCTTGCGGCACTTCTGTTTCCCCGGGGCAGTAAGTAAGTCAGCCCTGTACAAGGGGTGATTCCTTCCGCCCTGAGCCTACAACCTAGGACTAACGTCCGACCAAATAAAATCTCAGAGCAGAGAAAAACGTAGGAGTGCGGTCGCGCAACCCTATAAGGGTTACCGGGGCGTACTCTTACTCTGATTATCACATTATCAGGGTGGGAAAAAAAACAATCTCACTCAAACAAAAAGTTGTGGGGTAGTTCACTCTCATGACAGTTGTGTGGTTTGCCCATCTGAATCCAAGCATAATCACTTAACAAGACTCAATCGAGATTCTTTCATACATACATGCAATCATACGCACAACATTCAAACAACATCACACACGCTAAAGGGGTCAACTTTTCAACCTTTTGCAGCTCACACCCTGCCTTCTGCACACAAGCGCAACCATGTCCCCACCAATCCTCAACAAAAGTACTTAGTCTTTAAGAAATGGTCATTTATAAAGAAACTGGGTGAAAACCCAGAGAAACACATAAATTCTGGCAAATGCCAAGGCCTTAGGTTGAGAGGCAGGAGAAATAGGAAGGTTGAGTCGTACACCGACGAATCGGTCACTGACCTGTTATCAGCGACAACCAAAGAGTGATCCTTTGCAAGGATCAGGCTGAACAATTCAGGCTTTCAATCAAAATACGGGAACCTGCATCACAATACAGGCCAGAGAAACGTAATATTTATGTCTATGTCAAGAAAAAAGAATACTCCCTAGGTCGTAGCCTAGCTCCTCTACTAGTACCAAGCCACTGAACGGTTTCTGTATCCAGGATAGATCTGCTAAGTAGCCCCTAGCTGAAAAATATTCTAACTCCTCAAATTCTACGAAATTTCGGCAACACTTTCCGTAGGAAAAGTGCCTTTTCAAAATTTCTATGAGTCCAAAAATGACCAACTCTTTCAGATTTGCAAAAATTTCGGTAGCGCTTCCCGTATAAACAGGAGGTTATCAAGATTTATACAAAGCTAAAAGACAGAAAGACAAAGCAAGCTATACTTGGGACTATCTTCTGACACCCGCTTGATGACTCAGAATCAATGATAGCCCGCACAACCTCTAGGTGGGAGTGTGGCTAACCCTGATCCTAACTCCTAGCAGGGTCAGTCCTATCTTCATCGTAAGTTCTCTCTCCCATCATCCATCTTATCTACCTATGGCTCCAACACTTGGCGAGCATCTAAAGCAACTAGCCTATTGAAGAGACGCCCCAAAGTGAAACTCCACAAGCATACATGAACAGGCATCTCTCACAATCCCCCATAAGTTTAAACCAAATAGTTCATTAGATCACTCAGTCATTTTCCCTTAGTAACCCCCTTGTCTATGGCATATGATCAGACAAGGCCCTAACTTAAGGGTATGTCCAACCTGCCTAAGTAAACAAGTAAGAGAACGAACAACTAGACTGCCATAACTTAAGGGTATGCCCAACACCACGCGAACTCTAGTCATAAAACATATGACCCGACCGCCCTAACTTA